CAGGCGCATGCTGCCCACAGGAGCCGTGCGATTAGCTGGGTGTCAAAAGGCAAGCACCCCAGGCTATGCTGCAGCCAGAAAACGAGTGTTTTTTCTTAACATGCTGACAATGCCTTTTTCTGGCAGTAATCCCCTGTACAAGCTGCTGAAACAAGTAATTCCTGGGCACACACAGAGCAAGCATTTCAAACCAGTCTTCTAAAAACCAGAGAAATACCCTTGACTTCTAGCTAAGCTATTTGTGAGGGCCCTCGCTGCTGACCTGTATCAACGCGCCTCCTTAGCAGGACAGTGGAAGAGGTAGGGGACAAACTGTTCCCTGTCCCTCCTCACAGGGAGGGTGTAACCCCTGAGGGGTGGGGGACAGGGTTCCATTTGGTGGTGTTGGATCCCTGCAGGGAGCTGCTGAGTGGGTGGGGGCAGGCATGACTCATTAGGTTCCCCCTGACTGTGGTGGGTACATCTGCCCTTGGAGCTGGGGATGCAATTCCCAGCTCGAGGAGACATACCTGCGGTAGCTCTGATTGAGCCAGAACGCTAAAAATAACGTGTAACCACGGCAGCACAAGCAGCAGGAGGGGCTAGCCAACCCCCATACGGCTCAGACGTACGTAACTCGGGGCAACAAGCCCCTCCCACCATCGTGGCTATATTAACACGGCAGCTTGATCAGAGGTAGGGTGGGTATGTAGTGGGGGGTAAGAGAGGATGGGAGGGGGTGGGGCAGAGCAGTTGAGAGCAGGAGCCCTAGGGAGAAGGCCTAGGTTGGGGGTTCATGCAGGGAGATTTCGGAATTACGCTTTTTGTTAATAGGACGGAGCCCAGGAAAAGTGGCTTTCGGACCCGATGATGCCTTTCAGAGTGGAGCAAAGAGCCTGGTAAACACACCTCAGGAGCCTGCTTTTACCACAAGGGATTAGATGTGTGAAGGCCGGGAGGAAGCGTGGTCTCGGGGTTAAGGCTGGACGGGGACTCTGGAGATTGAGGTTCGATTCCCAGGGTCAGTGATTCGCTAAGGAGAGCGAGGTGCTGGCTCAGAGATGGGGGCCATGTCACTAGGTAGGTTGAAGTAAGGCCTGTTGGGCAGAACAAGGGGGAATACAGAGTGCCCTGAAGGGGTGGACGTAACACGTGCCTCCCTTAGGACAATGCCACCCCTAACCGCTGCCTTTGACAGACACAAACCCTTCAGGGCCAGGAGAGCTGGTCTGCAGGGATGCTTTTTCCCAAACAAATATGCTTCTGCGCTGTGTGTCCTAGCCCGCCTCCTCTCCCCGACGTAATGACCCTCAGTGTCGAGCGCCATTAAACCGCACCGGATAATCACTCTCTTTTTAACGCCCCCTACGGCTCGTTTCGCAGGAAAGGTGGTGAGCAGCGTGCTTCGTCGCCATGCAAATGAGGCCATTGTCAGCCTTCCTCAGGATCCACCCCGATCATCAGGCTGCTGTCTACGTGTCGTCTGTTTTCTGGGGGTGTCAAAGAGCTTTCTGGAAAGTGGAGATTATTTGAAGTCACCCCCTAGTTGTAACTCCAGGCTCAGCAGCAGCAACTGAATGGCAAGGCATCGCTCCGCACTGTGGAGCAGGGATGTGTTTCTCCCCCACGAGAACAGCTGTTGGCTTTGCTGGCGCCGTGCAGTCCCCTTATATGATCAGTCACCTCCTCTCTGCTGGGTCACTGCTCTTTGGCGGCCTGCTCTGTAGAAAAATGTCCCTTTTAGGCAATTCAGGGGGCAAAGCTAGATAGAAATGCAGGACACATCCCATCTCCTGTCATTACCCCCAAACAGTCAAAACCATCAGGGGCGTGAAAAGCTGAACAGACGAGGTTTGGAAGAACATGCTCCTGTGAGTTGCATTTGCAGACAGCTGAGGGAGCGGAAGCAACTAACCTCTCCTGGCATGGGTAAGGGGGTGAAAGGCAGGAATGTCCCTAGCATGCTCACAAATGTTATTTGTATTTCTGTGGCAACTAGAGGCTCCAGTAGGCCCTGTACAGACAGACAGACCCTGGCCAAAGTGTTCTGTGTAGTTAGACTGTGAGCTGACAAAGGGTGGGAAAGAAAAACAGAGGCACAGAATGATGAAGTGACATGCCCAAGGTCACTTAGCAGATCAGCAGCAGAGCTCAGAAGAGAGCCCAGGTCTCCCGACTCCCAGTCTAGTGCCCTACCCACTAGACAACACTGCCTCCAATTGTTCTTCTTCCAAAAGATCAATTGAGTGGGGGGAGTATAAATTAAACTGTGGAGCTGACAATTTCCCAGGAGTCTGCATGATGCGAGATCTTTGGTGTCGGGATCTTGTCTGTAAAGCCCCTAGAACAGGGTTGGTGCTAAATGTGTTAAATAAATAGAGATATCCTATCTCCTAGAACTGGAAGGGACCTTGAAAGGTCATTGAGTCCAGCCCTCTTCCTTCACTAGCAGGACCAAGTACTGTTTTTGTCCCAGATCCCTAAGTGGGCCCCTCAAAGGATTGAACTCACAACCCTAGGTTTAGTAAGCCAATGCTCAAACCACTGAGCTATCCCTTCCCCCAAACATGTAATGTGTTAACGTTACTACTGCTTTGGTAAAGGGTGGACTGCGAAATCCACCAGTGAAGAGCCACCACCCTGTTGTAAATAATTTGCCAGACTAGGCACAGCTCCCATGCTCTGATCATGCAAACATTACACCCCAGACTGTCAGGGGACGACCAGCCAGGACAGAAGGGGGAAGAGAAAACCCCACCGCTCCAGAAAATGGTCAGGCATTTGCTAGTCCATCACATCCCATTGTGTCACATTCCTGTTATGCCGCATTGCATCAGGTTATCCCACCACATGGTGCAACCCAACACTGATGCATAAGGGAACCTAATGCAATGAGACACACCAATGCCTTGCTGAGTATGGCCTTTATTGCTTGGTTTCTGGTCCACTACTCACCATCATTCTGGGCAGCAAGATACATTGGTTTGACGCTGGGGGAAATAGCAATACATAAAAATATCCTCACTCCAGGCAAATCTCTTAGCTGTGCCACTAAGAGTCAGGTAGTTGGACATATCTCTATAAATAATATCACCAGCCCACAGCGCTGCTGCTAGGTCCCATCGGCAGCCTAAGAAATGGGAGGATGCCAGGAATGGATTGCTGAATCTCGAACCATTTCAGAAGGCAGATGCTTTGGGGGGAGGATTACAAGATCCTTGCTTCCCAGGAGGGCCAAGAGAGCCATGGCTGCAGGGTTGCTCTCCAGCTAGTGAACAAAACTCTCTCCCCAGGTGCCGTGCTGGGGCATAAGCCGAGAAGCCGGGCATACTGCGTCATGACACTGCCCACGTACAGCCTACGCAAATAAATGGCCTCAAAGGAAGCGCCGGTTCTGAAGGCAGCCTGCACAGCTGATCCTCGAGCTCTTCGCCCAGATGTTGTCTTCGTGTGTCCCAAGGAGCGAAGGGGAGCTGCATCCCAGGAGCCACACTGAGCGTTTTCTGAACACTCCCCACTGTTGCGATACTCCCCGGTGCCGCTCTCCCGCTGCTGGCAACGGTGGAAGCTCCATGATAGATAAGACACCAGCATCTTTAACCACTCAGCTCTGAGCGAGTCGGGCCTAGATGGGGATAAGAACAGAACACCAGTGGCCACCAGTGCTAGTTGAGCGGGTCAGGAAGGGGGCGGAGTCTGTTGCTGATCCTTTGCAAAGCTGCTGTGATTGACAACGGTATCGTTAGCTATTTGTTTAAGGTAACAGCCACGCCATGCTGGGTGCTTTCCAAACACTTGAGGATGATCCTCTGAAATCTGAGGAGAGACAGGAGCAGACAACAGGGCAGGACAATAGGCAATGGACAGACAACTCAGTTTGGCAGCATGGCAAAAGTGAGACTCTGAGGGACTAAAAGGCAGACAGGGTGGGTTCCTTGCAAACGAGCTGAGGGAGGTGGCCCCATGCACTGAAGGCCCTGTGAAAGGAGGGACCAAGGTGCAAGAAGTGGACAAGCAGGCAGACAAGGCTGAGAATGCTGGCCAAACAGAGGAGGACAATGCAAAGCTTGACAAGACAGGATGAGTTCCTAAGTGTTTTTCACACTCGATTTGCAAACAGATCGAGCATTTTCCCCGTGCAAGAGGAAATCGAACCTCAAGCTACTGAGACATTTGCACCTAAGACCTTTCTGGCATTTGCATTCCAGGTCCGATGAGCCCAGCGCTTGGAGTTCTGACTGTTCCAGGGGAAATTATGGGAATGGTTTGAAAGCGTTACCATCGGATGGCTGTGCTTGCTGGGAGGGGGGAGAATAAAGAGGGGGCAGGAAAGGTTAAAGCAGGATGGATAAAAATTGATGATTTACAAAAAATAAAAATCGGTTTCTTTTATTTACATTTTATTTTTTGATTTTGTTATTTAAGGGATCATATGTTATTCTTTTTAAAAATAAACCTGTTTAAAATGAAATCTGAATCGAATACAAAATATGTTAAGGCCTAAACTTACTACAATCTCTTAAAACATTTAAATACAAAATAAGTATGCTGGTTTTGTGAGTTTAATTAAATTCCAGTTACTGTCCTAATGCAGCTTGACACAAATCCTGAGCAAAAAGCTAATTACCTAGTAAATAAGCAATACATCATTCACCATCTTCTAACACACACAAAATGTACAATCAATCAAAATGTGAAAATACTAAGCTATATAATGGCTTAAATAAACAAATACAGTTATGGCGTACCCTCCTCGGTAGCAAACTCATGTACCAAATCTAGTGTAAAAGCTCTATTGAGTTGTACATCAACATGTTTCAGTGGTTTTATCAACCAAAGAGAAGGAACCTTTCTCTAGACAATCAGTGAAGTACAAATGGAAAAGTTGATTAAAATCAATGATTTACATCAAGGCTTTCCACTTGGTGATTTAAATCACCGCTTTAAATTGCCTTGATTTAAATTAATCCACCTTGGCTTTAAGTAACCCCCACATACTCATAACCTGTTGCCTTCTCTGTCCTGGAGCGCAGAGAGTCTGGGAGTCCATTTGGAAATCACGTGCTTTTCGCTTAGAGCGGCGGCTTCAGGCTCCCAAGGCCTCTTGTCCTGCAGCTATCTATGGAATTGAAGCCAACAGATCCCCCCTGCCTCCCAAGGGGGCTTCAAACCGTGACTTTCCCTTCCCTTCGTCAGGAGTGAAACGGAACTCCTGGCACCCGTTCCTTTTACATGAAGCGGAAGCCCCGGATGCTAAATAACTGGTAAGATGCTCTCTCTGTAACTGGGGGGGAAACCGAGGTTGTGTGTCTGAAATAAACTGACGATCCTGAGCTTTCTCCCACGCTGTTGCCATGCCTGCAACAGCGCTGCCTTGTGACTTCAGGACACGGGGTCCCTGCACTCCCAACACCCGACAGACTGCAGTACCCAGATATCTGCTGGATCTAACCAGGCCAGGAAAACGCCTGGTAAATTCCCAGTGCCCTGCCTGGAGGATTAGGCTGCGGCTCTGATTAAAAGCAGCCGGAGAGGCTGTGTGTGTCATCTGCCAGGTGCAGCACTGAAGATTTAACCCCCTGCATGCTGAATTCTGTCCCTCCTGATTGCGATGTTGCTCCATCAGCCTCTCACCCATAGAGGCCTCATGCCAATGGGGCAAGGAGAGAGCACACACAGACGCTCCCCCTTCGTCCATTTATTTTTGGTGCATGGATAGAAGCAGTTTTTTATGGAGACAGATGATTGCATTGCTTCCTATGGGGAGGGGGAGTGTAGTTTCTCTGGAGAAGTATGGCTACAGCTGACTTACCGGACCAGCTTGCCTTTTAGATGAGGGATACTTTCCATTGACCCACAGCCTAGTTCTTTGTGGCTCTGCCCCTCTACCCAACAGCAGTACAGTACCACCCACCCCCAACCACAACATGCCTAAAGGACAACAGGCTTATGTGCACAGACCCTGTGGCCAGCTGCTCCAGATCACATTTCTTCTATCTTAGATATTTATAGGGCACCAAATACCACAGTATCTAGGTGCCAGTTTCTTGGCACCTTCCCTCCTTGGCATGTGCTCCCTGGTGGAAATATTGTCAGAGGAGGATCTGTTTGGGGGCGAGGGAGTATCTGTAAGGATTGCAATGCCATGGGAGATGCCACAGCTTGTTCAAGCAACATTTCACAGCACTGCCCAGTGCTCTGAGAAACTGAGCGAGAAGGGAGAGCAGAGAAAGGCAAAATAAGAAGATTGAAATATGAAGAGTAGGAAGAAAACAGAAAGCAAAGAGGAGGAATGAGAAAGCCTCTGGAGAGGAGGAAAAAAGGAGAAAATGAACGCAAAATAAAAAGAACAGGTAAAAGGGAGAAAAAGGAAAGGACAGAGAGCGAGAGAGGGGAGAAAGCGATGAGCCAGTAGAAGATGAGCACAAAGAGTTAGAGGAACGTGGCTTAACTGAACATTAGTAACTAGAAAGCGTCGGTGAGTAAGTGTCATATTGACACATCCATTGCACTTGGCATATGTGACTTTCCCTGCATTTCATGGGTGGGTTCTGTTTACCTTTATATTCACAGCTGGGCTGTAAAAGCTTCAAAAGCTCCAAAATTAACCAGAACTCTGGCTTGGGGCTGGGAAATAAGGGTCAGGATCTAAAAGTGTTTTCCTCTCCCCTTGGATCCAGGGCAAACCATCCACCTGCAACCCACTCACCCGCCCCCCTGCCATCTGAACACAGCAGAATGGACACAAGTAGCCCTGCAGCATGGAACACAGTACGTCCTGCTTTGATACCAGATATTTATGGGCACTGCAAACAGGGCAGTCCTCCCACTGAAGTCAATGGAGGTTTTTTGCCACTAGCATCAATGGGCGCAGAAAACAGACCGTGTATAAAGAAATTTGAAAAAGACACTGACCCAATACAGTTTGTTCCAAACCTTTACCTCAGGGGCCAAGTTTGCTGGGGGCTTCCTCGACAGGGTCTGAAAAAATCTGTATGCAAAACAAGTCACAGAGCCAGTCTTTGCTGACAAGGTTTATGGTGCAGAAAAGGAGACCCATTGAAAAACTGGCCCTGTATGTTCAAAGCTGAGAGCCAGAATTGGCAGCAATCCCATGGGAGACCTGCATATCCAAAATGAAACAGGTTTCTTTAATCCTTCAATGCCTTTGGGCTCTCCACCTTTCCAGACTACTGTCCCCCTTTCAGAAGTCTGATTTGTCTTGCATACCCCCAAGTTTCACCTCACTTGCTCATAAAATCAGACATAAAAATACAAAAGTCACAGCACAGTATTACTGAAAAAGTGCTTCCATTTTCATTTTACCATATAATTATCAAATAAATCAATTGGAATAGAAATATTGTACTTACATTTCAGTGGATAGTATATAGAGCAGTATAAACAAATCATTGTCTGTATGAAATTTTAATTTGTACTGGCTTTGCTAGTGCTTTTTATGTAGCCTGTTGTAAAACTATCTAGATGAGTTGATGTGTCCCCTGAAAGACCTTGTATACCCCTGGTTGAAAACCACTGCAAAGTGCTGAAGTGTCTTCCTGAATCAGGGCCTAGAGCAACCGTTCTCCAAAACCTGCACTGAAATGCATACCTATGGCTGGGGCTATAGTAAGGGCTGGATTTGTGTCTGTCATCATATTTTATATACCCACACTTCTGTTTAATACCTCAATATTTATACACATGTACGCATATATATATATTTACACACACGCACCATACACCGCTACCTCGATATAACACAACCCGATATAACACGAATTCGGATATAACGTGGTAAAGCAGCGCTCCGGGGGGGCGGGGCTGCGCACTCTGGTGGATCAAAGCAAGTTCGATATAACGCGGTTTCACCTATAACGCGGTAAGATCTTTTTGGCTCCCGGGCACAGCATTATAACGAGGTAGAGGTGTACTTCATTCTAACTATTCATAGATCACCGTCAATATTTACAGCAACAAGTTTCCCTCTGCCAAACCAATGAGAGAAATGCACAGGCCAGCGAAATGTACCCAACGCTTTCTAAGCCATTGAGCTACAACTGGCTACAGAACAGAATCCTGGAGCCTCCCTGCTGACCTGAGCAACCGTGGAGCGCGATAGGTGCCCAACTCCACGAGCCATCAAGGAAAGAGACACGTGATCCCGAGCAGAGGCTCCCCTCTGAGCTGGTCTGACTTACTCGCTGAGAAGGTGGCTTCCACGTGGACAGGAGGAGTGGAAGGAATGCAAGGCGGGTGTCCCACAAAGAAGGAACGCAGGGAGCGCTCGGACAGGAGGGGAGAGCGCTGGGAGGGGATGTTCTCACAGCTTCCCACACTGTTGTGAATCTTTAAGTTCAGGGGCTTGTTCTTTTTCTTGACTCTAAGGGAAAGAGAAGGAGAAAAAATGAAGAAAAGCAGCAAAGGAAACAGGATACGTTTTCTCATGGTAAACAGGGGAGAGGGAAGAAGTGGCAGCAATCAGGTATCCCACTCAGGGAAACACTAGTATGTGTCTGACTAAAACACAAGCACAGGAAGACATGGGCCCGAACCCATGTCCTCACACACTGGAAGCCGTGAAAGCCAAACCTGGGCTCAGATCCATATTTGCATGTGGCTCCTCATCTTAATAATGAGCTGAACCAGATCCCATTTCCAAAGTCAGACCCAGTTACCTCCAAGCCACATTACAGTAGTAGAGGTGTTTATCAAGTGCTTTGAGATCCTTGGATGGCAGGTGCTGTGTGAATGCAAACTATTATTACCCACACGGTAACACAAGCTAATAAAAATCACATCATTTCTTCACACGCCAGCCTCGCTAAGTCCGTATTGCATTTCACAGTTCTGAAACTACGGCATGTTAACGCTACATGGCACCATCAATCTTTAGCATCCCACAGGAATTACACTCAATTGCTACCTGAAAAATCTCTAGTGCCTGTGACAGACAAATGTGATGCCATGCTGGGGTACTGGAGCCTCACCATAATTCATTCTTCAAACCCGCTTTCAGTCAAGACTTGGAAAGGAACAAATCAATCAGGAGTCTGCACTGACGAGTGAGAATTTTGGAAATATCTTCTCTTACCAGCTTGTTCCTCCAGCGCTACGTTTTCAAAACTCGGTGCTTAAGCTGGTCCTACAAAAGGTTTGTTTTTAAAACACATCCACTATGCCTGTCCAAGCTGCACTCCCCTTGCAAATGGGTCTTTCTGTGCACAAATCTGGGTACCATACTTTCCTGTTTGGTAAGGTCTATCTACCATCACCAAAATGACACCTCAACACCAACCCAAACCCTCTCTCACCAAAAACCCTGAAAACAGCCTCACAAATCCACAAAATGAATTTTAAAAAATCACCCCATCCCAAACAGAGTTTATATTCCAATGCAGGAGAGAAGCCAGAGACACCATGACGTGCACTAGGAACTTTGCTCATGCTATTGATTTAACATGGAAGGAGTCCAGATACCATGGTGAAGGGCAGCAGTATAAAACCTTAAGACAGACAGATATGCAAATGTTGTTGGAGCCAGTAAACCTTAGGGCTGAGACTTTCAAAGCTACCTAGGGGGTTTAGACACCCAATTGCCATTCCTTTAGGGCACTGGGAACTCAAATCCCTTAGGCATGTTTCAAAATCTCCTCCTGGATTTTTTGGCCACACATACAACAGGCACCATTTATCATTAATATAATGCCAACAGTAGGCCAACTGTTTTACGGACAAGTCGAGAGACAAGAGCTCTACTGCCCCTATGGGTGTTCAACTGGAATTTCTTTCCAGTCTTTTAACATCTTTCCATTCCAGTTAATTTAAAATGTATTGCCCAGTTTGGCAAGTTGATGAATGAGATGATGATTCCGGGGCCAGATTCTCAGCTGGTGCTAATCAATGCAGCTCCATGGACTTCAGTAGAATTATGCCAATTTAAACCAGCTGAGGATCTGGCCTTGTGCTACAACAGAGGTTCTGTTGTAGTAATTGGGCGGGGCCTACACATTTACTCTAATTGTGAGCGCAGCTGTAAAAAGTGTGTGAAAGTTCTTAAAGTGTCACAATAACCTCCAATAAATGGTGATGGGAAAAGGCACAAACAGGAGACACAATGGATTTGTCTAAACCAAAAGGCTACTGATATAATCCGTGGACCGTGTTGAGATCATGCTTGATAAAAACAGAAGATGTAGAACCAGAAACTAATGAATGAAATCAACATAGGCCTAAGGGGATGGGCTGTTCCACCCATTACTCCATTTTGGGGTCCTTAAAGAAAGAGACTCTGGCAGGGAAATGATGGAAGAAGAAGACAGAGGCTACTGGAGTGAGTTTCACCATCGTCGCTACCCCCGCCATCTCCTGGGATCTTGGACCTTCTTCATCCTAATGCTGAGGGATGCCCTGACCAAACCAGGTCACATGATACCTTCCCACCCTTCTCAGCTCCGACTAAATCCCAACCATCAGCCGGGACAAAATGGGATCGGACTTCAACAGCAGCAACAGCTCCAGCTCATCTCAACTGACTTCTTTCTCTTTTCCCCTAAAGGCCAGTTCATCCCATCTTTGATGCCATCGAAGAGATGGTCGGACAAGGGGTTTTTCCTTCCAAAACTCTCTCCAACTAAAGGGAAAGGGAACAAGGACTGTCGGTGCAATGAGAGTCTTATTTAATACTTTACATTTCAAATGATGGAACTGGTTTTCCTTCTTGTCTTGGTCTTCACTAAAAGGTTAAAAGGAATTTCAATGGTGTGTTTGCCATGGCACTCAGCAGGCTGAGGGCTCGTGTATACCAAAGCTCAGACCTTAGTTAACACTGGTTAATGCTGGACAGTGGCTGGGTTACTTTAACGCATTTGGCTCTTTTATGCCATCTAAATTAATATACCAGCAGTGATGGCCCCCATTGGTGTCATGTCTGAGCGCTTCACCCTCTAATTTGGCTTTCCTCACCACAGCCCAGGGAGGCAGGCCAGTGCTCTTGTCTCCATTGTACAGAAGGGAAACTGAGGCACGGGGAGGCTAAAGTGACTTGCCCAAAGTCACACGGGAAGTCTGTTAAAGCCACATTTCCTGAGCCCCAGGCTAGCAGTTAGACTATGAAGAAATCCATACAACTTTCCACTGGGCCTCTAGGCTAAGGGCCAACTTTCAAAGCAAGAGGCCAGTCCATAAACCCATTTATGTGGGTGCCCCAAAGAGCACGCCCCCCCACACTGATCTGAGGCAGGGCACAAGCCGGCCAAGTGGGCAGTTTAGCCAGCCATGCCCTGGCCAAAGATTCGGGGCTCCCCAGTCACAATCAGCTGTTCTTGCAGGCGGAGGGAAGACACAGATTTTTCTCTCCGCTCTGCTAGCTTGTCTGATTGAATTAGATCCTGTCTGGCACTGTCTAACCAGGACTGATGGGGAGTCAGTGTGCACTGGCGGAGGGCAAAGGGGGTGACCCTGAGTGGTGTGAACACCTTGGGTGAAATTCACCCAGTGCAGGGAGTCAGCCCAGGGACGTGGCATCACTTCAGCTCTCAAAACAGGGTTAGCGCGGGACTCGACTGGCACACGGGCTTCAGGTGAGGCCTTTGCACGGGGTGAAACACTCACGCCACCTGCTGACGTCAACGGGATTGCGGGTGCTCAGCCCCACTCAGGATTTGGCCTGGAATCATGGATATTAACCCGTGGGGTGGGGAGAAGGAAGGTGCCTCACTGGCTGCTGCAGCCAGCCTGTGTCCTGAGGAGCTGCTAGACAGAGCTCATAAGAACAGCCGGACTGGGTCAGACCAAAGGT